TATTCAGCAATCTGATGCAGTTCCCTAATATTTGTGATCTGGAGCACAAAAGCAACACGGGCACAAATTTGGGGGCAATATTATTATTATTATTATTTTTAAAGATTTTATTTTTTCCTTTTTCTCCCCAAAGCCCCCCAGTACATAGTTGTATATTCTTCGTTGTGGGTCCTTCTAGTTGTAGCATGTGGGACGCTGCCTCAGTGTGGTTTGATGAGCAGTGCCATGTCCGTGCCCAGGATTCGAACCAACGAAACACTGGGCCACCTGCAGCGGAGCGCACAGACCCAACCACTTGGCCACGGGGCCAGCCCTGCAATATTATTTTTTTCTGAAGACCACCACTCAATTTTGGGTAGATTTTCAAAAAACATTGAAGCTAGCCTTTGGCTCTGAATTGGTTGGTTGATTGGTTGATTGATCACTTGATCAATTCATTCATTTGACAAAAATATATTGAACCCGTGCTATAGGCCAGTCTCAGTGTTGGTGATATGTATGTTTCTGTGTGGTTCTTGTAGCTGCGTGTAATGCATTAGTGGGAAATAAACCTGCAGGTAGACTGGTTAAGAAGTTGTTGGGTATAATGTAAGTGAAAAATGATGGTTTGTTGGATTTGGAAGTGACAGTGGGATGATGAGAAAAGATTTTATAGAGAGAGATATTTAAGAGGTAAAAATGTTAGGATTTGGTGATTTATTGGAGAAAGGGAGGAGTCAAGAATAATTCCCAGGTTTCTGGTTTAGTTAAAAGTGTGAGTGGTAGTGACATTCTTTAAGATGAGAAATAGAGTAGGAAGAATGGGGTTTTTTTGGGAGTGGGAGAAAATTTTAACTTCAGCTTTTGATATTTTCAGTTGGAGGTGCCTTTGAGAGATCCAAGCAGATGACCTGGACAGTGAACTTGGTGATAGCAGGGGTCATGTCTGGTTCGGTCCTCGTTGTATCCCCCGTTCTTTGGACGATGCCTACATTTCTAGAAATGGAGACAGGTTTAGGCTGGATGTATAGATTTGCTCTTCTTCAGGGTATAGCTGGTTTGATTGAAATCAAGGAAACAGACGAAATTGTCCAAGGAAAGTGCCATAGGGAGAAGAGGGCCTAGCATAGCAACACTCTGGGAGGTATGTTCAAGGAAGTGAAGAGGAGAGGCTGCGGAAGCATGAGGAAAATCAGTAGTGTATGGTTTATGGAAGCCAAGGGAAGCGGGTTTCAAAAAGGTGGGAGTGTTTAATGGTTTTGAATTCAACTAAGAGGTCAAGTAAGATGAAAACTGAGAAGATGACATTGGATTTTGTAACTGAGAAGTATTGGTGAATTTATTTTTATTGGGTTCATAATAGTTTACATCATTGTGAAATTTCAGTTGTATATTATTTCTTGTCTGTCACCACATAAGTGCTCCCCTTCACCCCCTGTGCCCACCCCCCCACCCCCCTTTCCCTGGTAACCACTGAACTGTTTTCTTTGTCCATCTGTTTGTTTATATTCCACATATGAGTGAAATCATATAGTGTTTGTCCTTCTCAGTCTGGCTTATTTTGCTAAGCATAATACCCTCCGGATCATCCATGTTGTTGCAAATGAGATGATTTTGTCTTTTTTATGGCTAAGTAGTATTCCATTTTATATATAACGCATCTTCTTTATGTATTGGTGAATTTTTGAGAGCTTTTTTGTTAGATTAGTGGTTGCAGGAGTTCAGTAAATTTGGTTAAAGAGTAAGTGGGAGGTGAGTGGATGGAATCGACAGGTGTAGGTCATGCTTTCCTGTATTCTGGCTATAAAGAAAGAGACTGAAGATAGTATATGAAGGAGGTATGGGCTGGAGGAGGGGACGTGGGCTTGAGCATGTTTAAATGCTGATGGGAAGGAGACGATGGAGACACAGAGGTTCATATAGGAGAGGAGAAAATGGGGATGGGAGCAATTTGAGATGGGATGAGTCCAGAGCACAGGGAGAAGGACTAATCTTAGATAGGGATACCCTTCAAACTGGAGGGATGTTGTTAGTGATGGAGAAGGTCTGTATTCTGCTGGGATTAGCTTCTAGTCTTGAGCGTCTTTTCAGGGAATTATACTTCCAGGGCTTCCTAAAGGTTCAGAGTGACAGAAGCATTAAGAGACTTTTGGCAAAATCCGTACTATTTCTGAATTCCCTAGGGTCATTGATCCCTGGAGGCTCTATTCATTTAATGACTCTCTTTATTTTGGGCAGCAGGCATATATACTAGAACTGGACTCTGAACCTATGGATTAGGTTAGGGTTTGGGGTCCAATACTGATCTAAATATGAGTATCAGGGTGTTCTGAGACCCTCTGGAGACTTACCCAGGTGTCAAAGTACAACCTGGGGATCGCCTACAGCAGTCTACTTTAATTAGCAAATATGTCATTCTCATTATGACTCTTCATTATTAATCTATATGATGGATTGTTGATTGTAGGAAACTCTGGGTTACCATAGTATTAAGCTTAAATTACACTGTTGAAATTTTAAAAGATTGAATACATCTTCTTTCTTCTATGGTTTAATAGAAAGAGGGTGGGCTTTGGAGACAGAAAAAACTAGATTCAAATCCTGGCTCCATCACTGACTAAGCTTATGTGGCTCTGAGCAAGTCATTGACTCTATAATATCCTCATGGGAATGCCTGGTAATGTCTAACTTGCATCATGGTTGCAAAGATTAGAGGTCATGCCTATAAACCAGCACGTTGTTGATATTAAATAAAGAGGAACTGATATTATTTTTAATTATTTAAAAATAATTTATTTACTATTATACAGTCTTTAGCGAGTGTACTCTGAATTTATTGTTAGAACTCATCAAAATTGAGGATCTCGAGAGAGATTAATGGTGATGTCCTTGGTCTAAGTTCTGGTAGGCATAGAAGTTTTGTGATAATTGTGGGCCGACTAAAAATATCTTTTATTGGCCTATACATCATCGTAGTAAATAAAGAGAAAAGAGGTAAAATTCTAGATTTTTAAAGTATATGGAAGTAAATCAGATTTGTGTTGGATCCCTCTTATTTTCCATGAAAGTATCTCAGAAGATGTTATTTTTTACAGATTTAGTCTTTTCAACCCCCCTTTTCCTCTGTAATCACTTTTTCCCCCCTGCTTTTTCCTCTTCCTTTTCTTCAAATTATTGGAAACTTTCTCATGTTACAGCATTTGCTGCCATCAGTTGTGCCAGGAAAGCTTCTTGTGCACCAGAAATGCTGTGGGATGCGTGCATGTATGTGAGAGAGAGAGAGCGATGGCGGGGAGAGGGGCGAGAAGGGGGAGGGAGGAGAAAATGGTGTCTAGGGTAATTGTGCTGGTATTTTTTCCTCCTTGAGAGAAGCTTCAGATATCTGTTTGGCTCTGGTTCAGTTGTTCTATGGGCATAACTGAAGAAGGGGGTTGGGGAGGGGGAGAAGGCAATTAAAACCTCGAACGCTGTAAAGGCCATTCTTAATTAAGTGGTGAGGATGGAAAAATAAAATACTTTCTTAGGCTTTATTTCTGTTCTCCCCTTAAAGTTCTGCTGAGGGATTGGAATTCATATCCCTTAGAAAAGATAAAGTTGTGCAGAATAACAACTCTGAAAAAAAGTTTTTATAAACTTTTCAGAGAATGCCATTTTTATTTGATTTCCCTGGGCCCCCGTCCTTATCCTCCTCCCCACCCCCACCATCACTCCAACACTGAAGCACCCAATTCTCTGGAGTTTTAATGGAGACAGTTCAAGTATCTAACTGCCCCGTTTCCTTTGTTCAAGTTGCTTTTGGTCCTTGCTGGGAAATGCTCTGAAAACTGAACCGGCTACTGAACACAAAGGCCGACCGGTGTTGTCCCTCCCGGTAACGCACTGTGTGATTTGTTCCCACCTCCTGTTCATGACTCATTAGTCCCTAAGTACAGAAAAGGTTGCTCCTCTGGAATAAAAGGAATAGACCCAGCGCGGAGTCCTTTTTCGCCTTTTCCTGTGTTTTATTTGGGTGCACTCACAGTTCTCTGCCTTCATTAGTGACACAGCAGGGGGCTGGCACAGTGCTGAGACTAGCTTGCGCTGGTTCCCTGGGGTGTATCGGAGATCTCGGAACTCAATACCCTACTATAAAAATAAAATACTGTGCTTCAAATGACCTTTTGATGGAACAAAGCCATACGTCCCAATCTGCTTGGGCTTCTCAAATTGCCATCGTTGCCAAGAGCCTCTCCCACCCCCAACATTTTGCCCTCCTCTGAATGTGGTTCTTTTGGTAGCCTCTGTGTCAGGTAAATGTGTGTGTGTGTGTGAAAATGCAGGCTTTGGGCAAAGACCTTTTGTATTTAAAGCACACTTCAGGATACTGGTTTTTTGTGAGACACATACACAGCAGGTATTTGTGGGCTTTAAGTAATATCATTTCAGATTCATATCTAAAGTTTGGGAAAGTATGTGAAATCTAGGGATGCTATAAAAAGCTGAGTTACATATTTATAATTCAAGTTGTTTTTCCGAATTCTCCAGAGTGACCGAATTATTGTCTTACTTAAAACCCAGGCACCTGCAGAGCTCCCCCTAACTCCAGAGCGCCATGTGTGTGTGAACTCAGTAATAAAGTGATACACTAACATGCACAGTGTCCGTCAAACCTTTCTGTAAAGCACTTGGAGTACTCAGAGCAGGGGCCTTGTTAAGCTTCCAGCATTTCTATGCTATAATTCTTGGGAACTGATTACCACACTGATTTTAAGGCAGCATGGGAAAATAAAATAGGGACCTTTTGTCAAAATGACCAGTATAACCTTAGGAAACTCAACGCTCTTATCCTTTGTCATCACATCATGGCTACAATAACAGGGTAAGATGTGCAGTTTTAATAAATTGTTCTAAATTCTTTAAAGTCTCAAAGTACATTGTTGTTACATTTAAATAATAATATTCAGACTGTATGAGATATTTAGGGCCTTTGTTTGTAGAGAGTATTGTTATTTAAGAAAAATTCCTTTTGATTCTATAAGAAAGTAATTTGCCAATATGAGACTTTATTTTTATTTTGTACTTCAGGTTGGCAGACATACTCTAATTCTCTACAGAAAGTTTGTGATAGACTGTGTTTTAAAAAAAAAAAGGTGTATAGAGAGAAGAGATATATTTTCATAGTCTGGTTCTACAGAATTTTGTATTGCATAAAAAAGAAGTGGACTGTGTCTTCCTTTGTGTTACCACTAACAATGATGTGAGAAACATTTCTGTACTCTCAGGGAATGTCCTCAAGAGTAGGATTTGCGGGGTCATCAAGAACATACATTCTGGAGTCACGAAGTGCTGCCAGATCACTGCGTGGAAAGGCTGTGCCAGCCTATATCCCGCCGGCAGTAGCTGAAGACTCCTCTTCCTCACGTCCTTGCCAACATATTATATGTTTGTACCTGCTCATGTTTCCAAACTGATGGATGTAAAGTGGTATTTCATTTTAATTTGCATTCAGTCCTTTCTGATGAAGTTGAGCATCTTTCTATGCCGGTTAGTTATTTGGCTTTTTACTATCATGATTTGAGTGAAGACTTCATGTTGATGTAGACCTTAAGGTTTTGAGTTCGTCAAATATATCACTTTTTAAAAAATCTTACAGTTTATGCTTTTAAGGTCCAGGGCCACAGGGTTACACTCTGATTTGACCCTTTTTTCTGTTAGCCACCTTTACATTTAAGCTTCAGTTCATTTAGAGGTCACCTTTGGATATAGCAGCACGGTTTGAGGCAGCAGATTCTTTCTCTGGAATACAACGTAACAGTTTAGCATAAACTAAAGGGCCATACTGCATCATGGATACAGTTCGCAAAGAGGATTTAGTGAAAAATGGAAGAAACCTATGTATAGCACATTACCATTTATGGAAAATCTTAAAACATGTATATGTACCAAACAATGCTTTATATTTTTCAAATAAACAATCCATATTCAAAGACAGATGCCAGACAATTAAATGTTGGCTTATGTAGGAGTAAGAGAGAATGGGCATTGGAGATAAAGGGGGAAAAATGAATAAAATAGAATAAACCAAGAGAGAGGCCTTCCAAGGAATGATGGTATCAGTGTCCTCTGTACTGAGAAATGTGATCAGCCCAGGGGTATGGGGATGGGGTGGATATAGTTTAGGAGAGGTGACCAGCCAAAAAAGATTCATTGAAGGAAAATGGAAATGAAATATTTCAAGTGTTAGGATTCATAAGTGAGATGCCTGTAAGGAAGAAAGAAATGCCCCTAAATAACTAGATCTGGTCATGCTTTTTTGGCTTTTAAAGCATTTTTGGGAGAACCAGGAATTTCTCTCTTTTTCCTTAGGTGAAGATATCTGTGAGAAGGAAAGCAGATGTTTCTTTTCAAATGCATGTGTGTCTACCTGCCCTAAGACAAAATGAGTAGTTATTATTGAGAAAAGGCTCTGGTTATTTTTCATGTTGCTTGTTAAATTAAAGTTCTTTTCTTCAAGTATAGGTTTATAATTAAGTCATTTATCATAAGTGTTCTTTTGGTTGCGTCTTAAATTTGATGATACACAGAAATATGTGGGTGGTTACTTAGAAATTAGATGAATGAGTTATTTTATTGGCCTCTATCATTTGATATGTAGAATCTTTCTGTTTATAACAAACATTGAACATTAATTATATGCAACTGAAGGAAGCAAAAAAGATCTTGGTCTAGAAATGTGTTCTCATTTTCAACTCACCAGACACTTTTGAGGAATATAATACACTCCCATTAAGAGAAGTGGCGCCCTCTTGGCACCAAACTCAATTATGCCACAGTGTAAAGAGGTCTTCCTTCGCCAGACATGGATTCTGTGTTTCCTTCTCCTCAACATCACGTATGCTATTTTTTGCTGTAGTACTTTTGTTGGTACTCTGCCCTGTGCCCCTTCGTTTATTTTATGTCCACATACTCAACACTATACTAACACTTTATATTTATTATCTCATTTATTCCTCATTACAGCGTGCATATTGTAGGTAAAGGAAACAGACTCAGGTTAGGGATTTTTCTAGGGTCATACAGCAATAAGTAACAGAACCAGGATTTGAGCCAAGCATAACTCCAAATCTCATCGTTTTTCTGCCTGGTTACACTATATTTTTCGTGGGCTATCTTCTACAAAATCCATGTTTGTGTAGAGTGTGATGTCTTCATTAGACTCAATTTTTTAAGAGGACTTTACCCCTACCCTCTGTTCTAGCTATTGCTAAAGGACGTGGGCACCTTTAATTTGCACCACAGAAAATCTGTGTCAGGTTCCTTTTAAAGATCAGAACTTTGTTAGGATTTGGTGCTCTCACCGCCGTGGCCCAAGTTCTATTCCTGGTGACAGAAGCCTTTCTTCTTGGTGCCAGCACCGGGGCGCAGCGGTTAAGTGCACACTTTCTGCTTCGGCGGCCCAGGGTTCACCGGTTCAGATCCTGGGTGCGGAGATGGCACTGCTTGGCAAAAGCTATGCTGTGGCAGGCGTCCTACATATAAAGTAGAGGAAGATGGGCACGGATGTTAGCTCAGGGCCAATCTTCCTCAGCCAAAAAGAGGAAGATTGGTGGCAGATGTTAGCTCAGGGCTAATCTTCCTCAAATAAAATAAAATAAAATACAGATCAGAACCTTGAACTCTCTGCTATCCAGTTGCTCAAAAACCTACTTCTGAGAAATGGTATTTATAGAATATTGGTGTTAAATCACTGGCCTTCAGTGATGGATGTTATAGCAAACAGCTGGGTGAAAGTCACTATTCTGTCTGTGATTGAGTTTTTATTGAGGAGGCCATTCCTCAATAAATAATGATTCCATACCACATCATCTTTGAGGACCTGGAGATGAAATTCCTCTGAGATCTGAGGTCAGGAAACACTGATTCATTTTCTAAAAAAATCTTGTGGTTATTATGAAACTTATACTTGATCATACTTTCTTCTTGACACTGGTTGCTAGGAAGGTTAGAGCCAAATTTGCAGACCATCTCTAATAGCTATGGAGGAATAAACAATATGCATTTGAGTGCTAATCTTAACTCCTACCATTATTTTCCTCTGTTCCTCTTTGATTTCATGTTTCTTAATTATTTTTATTATTTGTATTGAATGTATTTTCATAAACTGCCACAAGTCATTTCATTGGTGACAAACATAAATATACAAATAACATATGTAAGGTCAATTGAAGCTTTCCTGACTTGATAGTTAAGTCACATCTCTGTTACGAATGTCATGTGTACACATTCAGCTTTCCATTTGTTTTCCTTCTTTCTTTCACCTTCTACTAATTTTCCATTGTTTATGATAGATTTCTCTCTTGATTAACATATTACTAGAATTTCAGTGGTGCTTTTCATTGTTATCAATATAAAGAGTTATTTTTCTGAAAAATTAGTCCTTTAATTTGGATTTCTCTAAGTTTAAATTTTTGTAAAGGTATAAATTTAATTTTTATGAAAATGTAAAGAAATAACTAATTTGATTGTTTTCATCTGAGGTTAACAGAAGGGAAATTTGGAGTCTCCAAGGAGGCCATTATAGAAGTTTTTGAAAGTTTATATACAACAGAATGATTTTTCCAGTTTGTTCTCACGAGGGTGATGAATTCCCTGTCTATTGCCTAATGGACATCTCTAATTGGATGTTCAACTGGTACTTCAGATTGTGTGAAACTTTACATTTAATTTCCCCCCAAATAGTTACCGCCACCATTTCCCCACCCCTCTCCCCGACTCCGTTTCCTATTTTGGTGAATGTCACTACTTTGCACCAGTCACCCAAGCCATATACATGGCAGTCATATTAGATTCCTCTAATCAGTCACCCAGTTCTTCATATTTTACCTACTTCATGGCTTTAAAGCTGGCTCTTTTCCATTCCCATTGCTATTACCTACTCCAAGTGCCTTGCACAGGGCCTTGCTAAGCAGGCATTCCAAATTCTTGGTTGAAGAAATGAATGAATGAGTGCAGGCATGGATTGTCTTAGTTTCATTGCTTGTATCTGGACTACTGCAAAATCCTGTCTTACTGCCTCTATCCTGGCCCCTTCTAATGTTTTAAGAGTGATATTCCTAAAATGCAAGTCAGATCTTGTCATTCCTCTGCTTAGAACCTTTAGTGGCTCCTTCCAGCTTCCAGGATTAAGTTTCGTTTAGCACTGAGGCCCTTCATGCTGAGTCCCTGCATCTTTCTAGTCTTACCTCCTGCCATTTCTCCCCACTGACCATGTGGTTTCATCATGAGGCTGCATATTCCATTTCCTCCCACGTGCTATTCATTTTGCAGAACCTAACTGAAGCTTCACTGGGAGAACTTGACTGACTCTGCCAGTCTAGTTAGATGCCTTTTTTCCTTGCTCTCATATCCCTTTATGCACAATGTCATGACACATCCCATACTAAAGTGTCATCATGACCTCCTTATGTAGGGACCTTCTCTTAACATAGGTTCTTTACTCCTAGACATTGTCCCACATTTGGTAAATAAACAATAATTATTTGTTGACTGACTGACTGAATATGGAACAGAGTAAGTTTGTAGGTTATAATCCAGTCTAACCATTGATTCATCCAGTAGCTATTTATTGAGTGTTTACAATGTTCTAGATATTGTTTGAGAGGCTGAGGATACTGCAGTGAACCAAAAGAGAACCTACCCAGACCATGAAAAAGTAAGCAGATAGATACAAAGTGTTGGTTAGTGTTAAGTGTTATAAGGAAAATGAAGAGAGATAAGCAGATTCTAGAACATGTGTCAAACAGGGCATGTCTAAAGAGGAAACCTTTGAGCAGAGTCCTGAGTGAAGTGAATGAGGAGCCTTGTGGCCATGGTGTTGGTGTTGGTCCTGGGCAGAGAGAATAACATTCCTGAGCACCTGCTATGTACCATGTCCTGTCCTAGGGATTCTGGAGACAGCGTCAACAAGAGTGTTCTTCAGCACCTTTTATTGTTTAACTGTGCAATTTGCTCCTCTTTAATATTGTATATCATACCTTTCTTTAATTACTTGATTTTCTGAAAATGAAAAATCCCAACATGGGAGAGCCCCTTTATTCTCCCTACCTATTTATCACTTCCTACCCTTTTCTCTGGGAGGAGAATCCATAGATTTTTATTGTTTAGAGGCTGCTAACACAGGAGGATACTGATTCAGGGCACAGAATCCCAACCTATCTGTGTTTAATCATGGTGTTCAGGGATGTGTGAAAGTGTTGTAGGTTTTTATGTCTTTGAGTTGACCTGAATTGTGGATGTATATAAAATTACTGTAACTAGATAGAGATACTACCGTTTCCTTTTTCCAGGCCACCAACCCAGCCCGCAACCCTGGATACAACCTTAGACCCTTTTGCCTTAGTAAGACAAGAAATCATAATTTTGGATGCTGTTCCTTGCTCTGTCACCTGCTTACTGCATAAGTTAAGTCTGCTCTTTGGCAGTTTCCCATTTGTAGGCAGGGTACCCTTTCAGTTAACTTTTAAATCTGTTTAAATAGCCCCCACGCCCTTGAAGAATAGGAGCCACACAAATGTAGAGTCCACAGAGAAAAAAAGAAAGAACATTCCTGAGAAGACTGTGTAAATTTGCAAATTCGTTGTCCCCTGGTGGCAGCTGACAGGTGGAGTGACAACCTAACCAAATAACACTAGGGCCATTGTGATAGGAGGGAACTTAATATTGTTATTGTTCCACTCAGATGAAATTTGTGTGAGGCTGTGCCAGCTCTTGTATTGAGAAAGCCCAATCGAGCGGAAGAGTTCTTGGTTTCTGTGTTTAGAGCTGCCTAACAACTGAGGAAAACCGATTAAATCTGGAAGGTGGCAGCTCACCCTGCAGGCTTCTCTAGGCACCTTTGAGGAGAAGCAAAGATAAATAAATACCACATTTTATGAGAGGAGTGCAGCGTGAGAGGGAGTGCCTGGACAGGAGTTAAAATTTCAAAAGGTGGGGGAAGTTCTCACTGACTTTCTTCCTGATCAGACTCTTGTCTTATGACCTCGTTCCTGCTCTCGGATTAGAGCCGGCCCTTGTAAACATGTGTGAGTTTGATAAGAAAGGAAGGAGATAGAAGTGTATATTTTCAGAGACCTCAACTGTAGAGGGAAAATGATCAAATACAAATTTCTTTATTTTAAAAAATGGCTTTTAAAACTATTTTACAAATCATATTGGATGCCTATTTGCCTATGGCATGTTACCAAGAGGTTTAGTTTTGAAAGTCTGTAATTTCTTCAGGGAAAGTTTGTGGACTTTCAATGTGGCCCCTGTTCAAGGTTCAATAAGCTACCTTGAAGTCAGGTGGCACTTAGATCCTCTTTTTACTGGGTAGGGACCCTGATCTCTCATCCCTCCGTTGTGTCTTACTTATTTTTTTATCTTTATGGGTAATTCTTCCTTGAGATTGACCTACCTCAAAGAGGCTATGGAGGGGGTGACCCTGTGGCCGAGTGGCTAAGTTCATGTGCTCCGCTTCGGTGGCCCAGGGTTTTGCCAGTGTGGATCCTGGGCACGGACCTAGCACCGCTCATCAAGCCATGCTGAGGTGGTATCCCACATAGCAGAACTAGAAGGACCTACATCTAGAATATACAACTATGTACAGGGGGACTTTGGGGAGAAGAAGAAGAAAAAAGAAGAGAAGATTGGCAACAGATGTTAGCTCAGGGCCAACCTTTTAAAAAAAAATAAAGAGGCTATGGATATTTAATTAGCTAAAAATAATTCCTTATTTTCAATAGATTTATAGAGCTTTAGAGATCATTTGGCCCACCTCTGCCACTTTGCAGAGTAAATTGAAGCCCAGAGAGGTTAAGTGGCTTGCTTAGGAGCATTCAGCTAGCAAATAGGTATGCAAGGACTCTACCCAGATCCTGACCCCCAGTATTCTTTTTTTCCTAAACCCATGCTTGTCTTTTGAGCTGCTTTGGGTTCACTATTACATACGGTGGAGAGTACTACAGCAGTTTACTTTATTGACTTATAAAGAATAATTAATAAAATAATTAAATGAATTCCTAATATAATTCAGCACCTTATATGAGTCACTATAATAATTTCAATCTCTTTTTCCATCAAACCTTTTATGAGAGCAACTAGGAAATAAATTACCACGTGGAGTTTCAATTTGTTGTATTTTTCTTCCAGCTGTGGAGAATATGATGATTAAAAAAATAAAATGAAGTAGCCCAAAATTAGGCAACCAGAAGGTGAAGAACAAAACCAAAAGTATTAGATTATTAGGTGCCAATAATTGAGATTCTAAATTATTACTCCTGTGACTATAGTGTGGCTTGCTGTTGTTAATAATGTTTTATGTCTGTCTCCACAACCTACAGTAATTGCTCATTCTCTTTTCCCCGGTGTGCAAAGTTAATTTAAAATGTTACTACAAACTGAGGAAGGGAAGCTTTTCTAGATCTCCTTCGAGAATGGGCTGAATAAGGAAGGATCCTTGCCCCAACTAGAATAAAGGAGAAGAAAATATATT